GAATCTCAATCGTGTGCCAGTTACTTAATGATGTAATCTGGCAGTCATGCAACGATGTAGGCATCCTCTGCTTTGGGGGTCTGATATCTTTTCGTTTGTGACGTGCCTGTATGCCTGTGGTTATGGTTCCACCTGGCACTAAGCTGTTGTAATGATTACAGCAGGCTGTACTTCAAGTCGCTCTCTTACTGACAGTGTCCCCACTCCTATCCCAGTCACTATCTTTCACACCCTTGCAGGACTCTTCTCAAGAAGGGGAGCTGCCTTCAGGGTCTGGTCTGCATCTAGAATAAATGAATGCTCTGATTATCCTTCTTGTTCTGGATCTTGAACCTGGGTCATCAATCTCCTGACTTGAGGTCCTTGGGAACGTGACCCAGCAGCCTTTCATCCAACCTGTCAGTTAAGGAGCCAGCAGCCTCCCATCTGACTTCCCAGCTGCGGTTCATCAGCCCCTTCAAGCGTATTGGTCAGAAACCTGTAGTTTGGTATGAACAATTTCCTTGATATTTCATGAACTTTGTGAGACATCGCCGCCAATGATGGAACCTAATGGCTGAGGACAAGTACTGAGGGGAGAAGAGTTCATTTTAAAGATGGTGGAGTGCTACGGCGGTTGGGGAAAGGTGAACATTTGGGATGCTTTGAACTTTTGCCTCCTGAGACTCTCCTCTGTGCTGATCTTTCTGAAAGAACTCACTCACAAACAAAGGCAGTCGGGTAACTCAGGGACTAAAAAGGGATGGGTGAGAAAGCTGTAAGTCAAGCTCTTGCATTATACATCTGAGAATGCTTTTACAAAAAAGAGGTAAAATCTAAACATGAAAAGGCAGAAAGTGACAACTTGCTGGTGTGTTTGCACATTTTTAATCACAAGACTAGACGAGTCCAGTTCCCTTGAGGGTGAGTCCAGGAGGTGGTGGATGAACCCGAGGTCACCCAGCCAACCTGTCTTCCTGTGCATCCTAGTCTTATGGGGACGGATCCGATACAGCCACACAGAGCTCCACACACTAAGATCCAGACACGGGAGACAGACGCCACGGGAGGCCCCACCCACGAGCAAAGGAACTGCAGTCTGCAGGCCATCTGCGGAAACGAGAGTGACAGGACAACCAGCCAACACTGAGGGCGGCTTTGGACTTTCAGCCTCCAGACGGAGAAAACGCATCCCTGAGCTTTGAATTACCCATCTGCGGCAGACTTTGTTAGTTCTTCTGCTCCTCACATAAAATAAGCAAACATCAACCTACAAAGTCACAGCTGCCCCTTAAGAGGCTATACATCTCATGAGAGGAGACTGCCCATCTTTGTCCTGCAGAGCAGCTGGTGGATTTGAACTGCCAGCCTTTGAGGTGGCAGTGCAGCTCCTTACCAGAGATGATATGCTGGACGCCAGAGTCTGATTTTGGAAGTTTTTTGACTTGTTGGAGCTTTAGTGTTATCATTTGGAAAATGATGTCTTGCAGAACTGCGTGAGCCAGGTAACGCCGGCAAAGCGCCTAGCACACAGAAGATGGGAAGCAAACAGCCGACTTTCTCGCCCACTGTCCCCATCAAACGTGACACCTAACCAGAGCCACGCCACTGAGTGCATTCAGATTCTTCTCTCCTCTGGCACTCCGAGGCGGTCAGCCTTGCTGGACTGAGACTGCACAGCTTCTTGCCTGGAGCGGCTGGCACTGCTGACCACTGCTTAGTAGCCCAATACGTGAAATTATCCACTATGCATCAGCACTCCTCTGATCACACATAACAAAGCAAACTTAGGCAAGATGATACGCAAGGAACATTTTATTGTATACAGTCTAAAAAAGACCCCCCCAAAAAAACAAAACAAAACAAAAACCCTCAAAAAAACTCAACAAAAACCATAAAACAGTCTCACAAATAGGAGCAAGAAGACTTTCTAGCCTGCCTGGGAGACACAGGGCACATGTTTTATAGAAACAGCTGGTACAAAACCAAAATGTACTCATTAACATTACCCTTTGCTTCCCAGTCAAAAAAAAAAGGTTATAGAGAAAAACACTTTAAGTTGTACTCTAGTAGAAATCCATCATACATTTAAACTTCCACTTATTCAAAGAGTTCTTGTATAGTAAACTGCAGAGGCATTCAATAAACTGCTCATTTCTTAACAAGTAATCGCCACTTGAGTACAGTGTGTATTACTTGTGAAATCTCACGTTAAGAAAGTGCAGGTACATAATATTTAACAGTAACTGGTTTCTGAATTTTAGGAGACTACCTCCTCCTGGAGCAGAAGTAGAAAGTACTTTCACAAAACGTGATTTGAGAAAACACGACCTTGGGAGTGAGCCTCATGGTTTTCATTGCACGTGGTTCAGTTTCAACAGTTTGAGAGAGTGCAGCCTAACAAGCTAGACTCTTTAGAGGGGGTGATAAGAACATAATGACATCGGCCAGAGCAGTAGTTTTGGTTGATATTCTGTAGGCAGCAGGATAGAACCAGGACATCAGAAGCAGAGTTATAATCTAATGAGTAAGTTGTTTCTAACTAAGCTTACCATTACGTGTACCACTTGCACTAATAAAGGAAAATTCAAAAGTATGTTTCGAATGAGCAATTGGCATCTCTGAAGCAAATACATATTAGATCTAAAGAAAAGATCTTCTCCAACATCCTGTATTTCTTAACTTGTTGGTACAAATAAGCTTTTGAGTATTTAGACATGACAACACCAATGGATTTATTTTATGACAATTTTACACAATCCATTTAAGAGAGTGACGCAGTCTAAATAAGGCCGTAGCTACAGCCCTACATGTACTTTCCCTGTCATTCAGTGGAACTGAGAAAATCCTTTTTGTCCATCTCTATAAAATGTGCTCCCTACTGTGTGACAGGGGCAAGTCAGTCAAGTGAGCTTAAAAAGAAAAATGCTAAGACTTACACTATACTGTATCCCTGTTCTTTTCCAAGATTCCTTACGCCAATTCTTCCTTCAATGGCAATGCCCTCCTTGACTTTTATTAACCATCGTGTCTGAAGAGCAGCTGAATCCACCTCACGTTCTCTAGGGAGCAGGTTTTATTTTTCTGTAGAAATTAGTTTTTAATCTATCAAGAGGAGATGGGAAGCTACAGAGCACTCTGCAATGGCAACATCAAGCCATAAATTAAAGTATAAGCTAAAAACCACATTCTACAGAAGAGGAGGACAGGTAAACTCACACTCGTCCCCACGGCACAGCGTCAGGCTCTCTCTTCCTTTGGGGACTTAGAATAGCAACTGGGAATGGGCTGAGCATGAACTGACCTAAAATTAACATGAAGTGCTTACCATTCAGCCTCGTGGTTTAAAAGCTACTATTACTCTAACTTCTCTTCCATATGAACTTAGTAGGGAAAGATTTTAAAAGGGGTAAATTCTTAAAAATTATAAAAAGCAACAAAGCCTCTGTCTTATCTCTGGAGAGAAGCCCAGTCTCCTCGGCGATCACGCCAGCATGTGACGCGTGCCCCGTCATCCCGCTGTGTGTGTCACGCGGTCACTCACATCTGCCTCAGTGCTACAGCTCCTTCAGGATGCTGCTGTAAAACGGTCTAGGCCTTAGTTTTATCTTGTAATGGCAACCTTATTGTCTTGATAGGCGATCCCAATTCATATTAACAGCATCCAATGAGGAGCTCTAACCAATATCCATTAGTAAACTAGGAAAAATATTGCTCTATTTAAATGTCTTTTTTAAAAAGTAGGCCTCTTTCACCTCCCACAGCCGTGAAGCCACACACACACAGCCTGCTGTTAACATGTTGCCGCACACTTTTAAATTGAGACTGTGCTCAGAGACACATTTTTTTTTTGCCGTCATTTGTGGCAATGTGTACACACACACACACACACACACACACACAATCATTAAGGGACAGGAACTCCATTTGCTACCTCTTCCCTATCTGGCTACTAAGTGGTCAAAAGGTTTTAAAAATGCCACTTTGTATGACAAATGTGATCGGTCAAAATGAAGAGGGTTTATGGGTTGACAACTATGGTGTAGGACCCGGTTAATGATTATAGTTTGGGGTCACCAGTTTCCTCCCGTGAGATATTTGTTACATCTGAGAGTGAGTACAGCTGAAAGCTCTGGAGACCTCTTCTGAGGCGGGAATGCAGTGGTGGCATCAGACGGGCTCACGAGGGACATGTATATGCGTAGATGGCACCTGCTGGGAGCGGGGCCCTGGACCATCCCGGGGAACAGACTGGTCGCTTCCCGTTACACTCGGGCTGGTGGCTGGGTGTTCCACTCGTCGTCATGAACTGCTGTGGTCAGGCAGCTTGTGTGAGTCCCCAGTTAACAGCACCATCAAAAGTCCTGTCCTCAAAGCACAGGCAGGAAAAATGGCAGGCTATGGACTGGCTTGATCAGGACAGAAACTCCACAACTTACTAAATAACAGCTACAAAGATTTACCCCACGGCGTAACGGCCAGGAAGAGAAATAACTGAAGCGAGCCAAGTACTAGGTGTAGATTATCTGTAAGAAGTTTATCAATAATTAAGATGTGGAGAGTCTTCACATACTGCCAGAAGACAAGGAGAGGTCTCTGGGGTCTGAAATTCCTATTGCCGCCCCTCAAGAAGAGAGAGTAAGTCTTACTTCCCCTTAATTTCTGCTCCAAGAGTCCCAGAGAGACCTTGGAGAGCCACCGAGTCTAAGCAGAAGGACATTTGCACTTGGGGGTGCTTCGAAGGAGTTGTAGGTTGTTCAGTAACCCCCCTCAGTGATGTCATCTGAAGCTGGAGTCATTCCAGCCTTCCACGAATCACCACAGAGCAGGCGTTTCCACACTCAGGCCCCTGGAAGTTCACAGGTGCCCAACACCACGTTTTTCTAGGGTTTTGCTTCTTTGCTGATTTGTTTGTTGGTGGCTCCCGTCCACTCACGCGACAGTCACCATGGAGCTAGTCGGGAAGGATTTCATTTGGTGAAGGATGCTTCGGAAGGTGCACACATCGCCCTGTTCCAGGATCAGTGTGGAGAGAATCCCGTTGCCAGACTGCAACCAACCACAGGCGTCATGTCCCATATCTATGAGAGAAAGAAGATTCTGGGAGCAAGCAGAGACCACTGCCTTCTGAAGGCAAAAGCCAGCACTGAAAAGGTGTCAAAAGGACTCATTTGCTGAGACTTAGATTGTGATAAAGGTAGTTCACGAAGACATAAAAAAAGGATATGCTGTAGTTGTCAGGTGCCACTGAGTCACTTGTGAACACAACCCTGTAACAACGGATCCTGTCCTGTATCATCTCACGTTAATAGTCACACCTGAAGACGGCACCATAGTACTTCACAATAAATTTATTTTAAAACATTTCAAGAATATGAAATAATTCATAGTTTCACAACTCAAGAGTGGTATTAAGTATAAGATACTTTCTATTTGAGAACTAATGACAATGTGATGGTAGCGGTTTCCCATGGTGGACAGTGTTTGATGGAGCTTCCCATTAAAACAAGCTTGGAAGCAGGAGTGGCATCCTCTTCCGAAATGGCTTGCCTCTGGAAAAGTATGAACAGTGCTCCGGTCTTTTGTTTATAGCATCGCTATGAGTTGTCTACGACTCGACGGCACTTAACAACAACAACAACAACGTGTGTATACCGATATAGATATAGTCACTGTCTACAATTACTAAGCCCAGGAGAGGAACTTTCAGAACAGAAAGACCGAGGAGAGAAGGGGCCGGCTATGCCGAGGCTGGGTGGGTCGCGAGAGCCCCAGGTGTGTTCATTGCTGGCTGGGATCTCCCCGGTGCCAGCAGCTCCCGAGCCTGTTCCCAGACTGATGCAGCAAAGGGAAACTCCATTGGGATTCACCACCGCCGGAAGCGGAAACTCACAGCACGCGATTTGTTACTTGGGGTTTTAAGCGGGCAGCCAGCTGCTTATGTAAAGGCAGGCTGGCCAAGCAGAAAGGGTAATTAGGACAGAAATGTCTTAAATCCACCCACAGGAGGACAATGAAGCGGTGTGAACTGAGGTGCAAAGGAAGCCAGGTCTTACCTTGATCACGCGATCGGTCCCACAGGTCACCATGAGTCCCCTAGCCACGTCCATGGACATGTGGGAAATGTTATGTTTTCCTTCATGAAAGGTTGCCAGCGAAGTCCGACTAACAAAGAGAAAACAGATCACTTAAAACTCACCGGACTGGACCTGTTGGGCAGGTGCCATCAAAGAGATTTCAACTCACAGTAACCCTGGAGCCAGGCAGAAACCTACAGGGGCTTTTCCAGGCTCTAATCTCTACGACAGCAGCCTGTCAGGCCTTTCTGCAGAGGCACCCGGGGTATCTGAACCACCAACCTTCTGAGCAACAGCTGAGGGTTTAATCACTTCCCCACCAGGCCTAAAAAGTAAGCTTCACATCATAAAAGAAATACTACAACATATAATACTATTTCAATATAGAATATTGAAATTTACTTTTAAAATAGTGGTTTTGTTTTTTCCCTTCTAAATTTTACTTATACCACTGTTGAGAATATACAAAGCAAAACATATTCCACCCTACATGTGTAGTTTTGTAACACTGTAATACTCTGACTTGTACAACCTTCTCACCTTTCTTTTCTGAGTTGTTCCTCCCTCATTCTCATAAACCCACTGATCCTATCTAGTCTCTCTAGTTGCTGCTGTTAATCTGAGTGGAAGTAAAGACGGGAAGGGAAGCTGGAGCAAAGGGAATAAAACAAAGATATGAACAGAAAAGATTATGACAATGATGACTGTTGTTTTATACCAGCGAGTCAGAACCAACCCCTAGTTGACCCTCCGGCGGTTTTTTCAGAGGCAGTTACTCGCCCAAGAGGAGATCACCCATCCTTCTCCCCTGGAGCAGCTGGTAGATTCAAAATGCGCACCTTCGGGATTGCAGCGCAGCTGCTTGCCACTAGGCCACCAGAGCTCACAGTATAAAAACTGTAACCAACGGCACAGAATAATCTCTACAAAAATTGTTAGTGAATCAGAGAAGCCTCGCTCCACTACCACTGAGCTGGTAAAATATTATTAAAAAGCAAACAAGCAGATGAGTTCAAAGAGAAAGGAACTGAAATGGTGGATCTGCCCAAGTCAGGGAAGAAAAGAAAGCAGAGACAGAGATTTTCCTTATCCACAAATGGTTACCTGCAGAAAGACTGCTGCCTCAGAGCTTTTTGGCAGAAAGAATACTATTCTTTCTGGTTTTCTCAGCAGTAAAAATTACATAGATGTAAGAAAAAGGATAGGGAACTGGTTGTGGTTGGTGGAGACTAGTCACTGGTACCAATCTGTAAGAGGACACTGTCTGCACACCCTTGTTTATTGTGGCTTTGTTTATAATAGCAAAGACCACCCAAGTGCCTACCAACAAACCAATGGATAGAGGAGCTCTGGTATATTCACACAATGGAATACAATGCAGCATTGAAAAACAAGTTACTCATAAAATATTATGCAAAAGTGTGACCCTGGAGGACATTAAGCTGAATGAAATATCTCAGTCACAAAAGGACAAATATTGCATAGAGCCACTATTGTAAAGTGGGACTGACACCGAGGTTGAGGGAAGACTGAGAAAGAGGGGATAAATAATATAACTGCACTGAAACAGATAAGGGATAGAACTGTTGAAAAGCGGTATATGATAATATATATGTATATACATACACACACACACACACACACACACACACACACACGCACACAGTACTACTGGGAGTCCAAAAGGAAGGCTACACAGTGGAGTGGACTTGGGGAGGAGGGATTGTATAACAGTGAAATAATTTTTCTTTTACTTTTCAAAGAGAAGAGCGAATTGGGGAGAGTGGATGGGCAGGGAGAAAAGCGCAACAGTGAATGAAAGGAAATCCCAATTCTCTGTAAACTTTCATTAAAATTAATAGGAAAAAAAAGAGGGCGTTGTCTCTGCACAGAGCTGCGTGGGGGGGGGGGGCGTGCTGGCTGAGGACTGGCCTGAGGAAGGCCGCTCCTCACACGCTCCTCACAGGCCTCGAGAGGGATGCGTGTGTTACTAGGGAAATAGCCAATATGCTCTTGAGCTGTCACGTTAAGGCAGAGTCTGCTCTGTACAAGTTACTTCTAAAGTCCCGGACACACACGTGGGTGGAAACACTCTTTCATTAAGCTGCACCAGGAAGCGAAGGCCTGCCTGTGACACTCACTCCTCGTCCTTGATGGAGTCGTAGCAGGAGTCGCACACGCGGACCTGGAACTCGAAGCCCATGATGGGGTAGCTGGAGCGCTTGCTGCTGCACTTCCCGCAGACGGCCTGCCCGCACTTCCTGCAGTGGTGCTTGGGGAGGAACGAGGGGGGAAAACAAGGTTAGCCTTAACGCACCCACGGTGCCTGCAGAGCTGGGGAACGGCAGAGGGGAGGATCTGCCTTGAATTACCATCACCCTAACTCAACGCACCAATTAAGTATCAAAACCCAGGCAATTCTGACAGCTCTAACAGACTCCCCAGCCATCTACCGTTTTCCATCCATGGAAATTCTCTCTCCAGACCCCACCAAGCAAGCAGTCACTGATCACCATGGAGGTGACTGTCATGGGGAGCCCACACGTGTCAGAGAACTGTGCTCCACGGGGTTTTCACGGCTGATTTACTGGCTATAGAGTGCCACACCTTTCTTCTGAGGTACCTGTGGGCAGAAATGAACCTCCGCCTTTTGGGTTTAGAAGTCAATTCCATTAGCCAATGCTACCACCCAGTCCCCCTCCCCAAAATCCAAACACAGCAGTCAAGACGACTGCAATTCACAGCAGTTTTCCAAGGCTGTGAATCTCCTGACAGTAGACTGCTTGTGGACTTGAACCACTGACCTTTCAATTAGCACTGCAACATGCAGGCCACCAGCGCCCCTTACCCAGGGGCTCCGGCTATCCACCCACACTATTATTAAAGTCAAGTCCATGTAGGAGCCCAACCCACTGGTGGCTTTGGGAAGAGAAAAAAAAATTCAATTCCTATATCAAAGAAAAGTTCTGAAACAGTTATTAAGTGTAATCTATCCTCCCTAAGACAGTTTAAAACTGCCATTTCTCTTCCTCTTTCAAGCTGTGTTTTTGGAAATGAGCTTCAGAACATTCCAAATAGTCCAGTTATTGTTACAGAATCTGGCATGTTCTTCTGCTGCGCGTGTACTGCCCAGCACCTTCCCACTGTCTATTAACTGCTGGCACAGAGCTCATGACTGTTTCCTTAACGTTTCTGTAGAACTGGGGACTCCTTCATCTTCAGTCACGACGCACAGTGACCACCGGACATGCACTTCGAGCACCTGGCCAGTGACAGGACTCAGATGCTATTCCAAGCAGCGGGATGTTAGGAGAGCTGCACGGATTCCTGTGAGTCTCTATTAGACCTGACTGTAGAGCAGCCTAGTCAGAAAAACCCAGAGAAACGGGACTAACTCACACACACTTCAGGCTAATCACTCATGGCACCAGCGAGGTTCTTCACACATCAGCACAAGTTTGTGCACATCTGTGCTGAGTAGCTACCATCAAGCCTGCTGCGAAAGTGTAGTATGTAGAACTTCAACACGCCACATGCGAACTTAGTGCTAAGGGCATCTTTGAAGTGCATGGGTTCTATGGGGGATGTTTCTTTAATTGAGGTGATACAATGTTACTAGGAGAACATTTAAGGGAAATGTGATCCAACAACTGCATCACGGCAGCCCAGTGCTGCTGGAGTCGCGTTCTGCTCCATGGGGCTGGCAATGGCCATGCCTTTTGTCTGAGACACCCCTGGGTGGACTCGAACTTCTGCTCTTCTAGTTAGCAGCCGACTGTGTTAACAGCTTTAAGCCACCCATCAAATTCTCTAGGTCAGACTGTTCCACTGAGGGTTAAAATGTTGTTTTTTTTTGACACAATGGGGCATGTACAAGTATCAGCCACTTTCAACTAATGGCATTCCACCACTTCACTTACAAAGGCCTAAATTAGTACCTGCAGTTGAAAAACAAAAGAGATGCAAAGAGGATTTCCATTCTGATGGAAAAAGGAGGAAAGCACAACTAGCGTGTGGCGTTTGCTCTGCAGGGAGGCTGCTTTTAGAGAGGCAGCCTGAGGCCCCAGCGGCCAGAGGTCCCGGCTCCTCTGCGGGAACCACGTTCTCTCAGCATCTCAGAGCCACGTAGGCCAGGGGCAGACCTGTGTCTGTGAACCACGCCTCAGGGTCCCTTTAACATTCATGTGCTATCCGGTAAGAGCTCACTGGTTATCCCTGGGGTCTCGGAATGCTCAACATTGTTCCCATATAAATAAATCTTTGCTTTATGTCATCTTGTCTTAAAAAAAGGTTCCAAAGGAATGCTTTCTTTTTGGATAGTGAAAACCTAAATGTCCAAATGTATTCTAATTCCGCGATTGTGAAGCATGAAGGACTGACCTTTTTATTGTTTGTTGCTTTTTAACTTTTCTTTTTTGTTTGTGTACCGTCAAATCAGATTTGACTGCTACAGGAGGAAATTGCCCCTCCTTCTCCAACAGAGCATCTGGTGGATTCGAACCGCATACCTCTGAGAATGCATGAAAGACTGATCTTAACAACTGTTGTTAGTTACCATCAAGTCAGATGTGACGCATAGCCGACCTTACAGTGGGTTTCCAGAGGATGTAAATCGTGCGGGAGGAGACTTCCCATATGCCTCCAGCAGAACCCGTGGCAGATTCACACAGCGCGCCTCTGGGCTAGCAGCACACCACCCACCGAGCCCCGGAGTTCGAAACTCAGCCCTGTCTGCCTGTGTACAGAGAGCACCCTGCTTTCCCAGTGCGGGTGAAGCCGTGGCATCGTCAGGCCTCAGGGACGGCTCTGCCCACTGTTAGTCCTTCAACGCAGGCGGTGCCCGCTCAGTGCCACCGCTTACCTGTCTTAGTCCCAGAGTTTTCGTGTCCCACATCTGCTTCAGGTTCCAGAAGAAGGGCTGCTCACACTTCTGACAAGAATCACTTTCCAACCATTGAGGAGCCTATGGGGTAGAGAAAGTCAGAGCCAAGGTCAAGGCTTCCCTTGCTGCACAAAGGTATGAACACAGCTGTGTCCAATCAAGTTGCAAACAACTTTTTTTAAATTACTGGCTATTTTACAGCTGGTTGCCATACTCAATACTGTGTAACTGTGTCTAATTGAGTTACCTGTATGATTACCAGAGAGCTCTGGTGGCTTAGTGTTAAGGAGTCGTGCTGTCAAACCAAAGGCAAGTGGTTCAAATTCACCAGCTGTTCCACGGGAGAGAAACAGGCAATCTCCTCCTGGGATATTTATTTACTGTCCCTGAAAACCTACTTGTTGAGGGGCAGCTAGGAGTTGGTTCCTCGTGATGGTACACAACAACCACATGATTTTAACAGTGTCCACAAGGACACTGATGCCTCCAAACTGTGGTGCAGGCAGAGAGGATAGTATATCCCACAACATACCCCCAAAATCCCACACCAAAGAACAAGCAAACCTGTCTTGGAGGAAATGCAGCCAGGCTGCTCCTTAGAGACAAGGATGGGGAAATGTTGTCTCACATATTTGGGGTATGTTTTCAGGAGGAATAGGTCCATGGAAAAAGATATCATGGTGGGAAAGTTGGTGTGTCAGTCAAAGACCCTCAACAGTACAGCCTGACACGGGGACTGCACAACAGGCTAGACCACAGTGCTGGGCCAGGTTCCGATCCGCTGTTCCCAGGGTGACTGGGAGAGGTAGCTGCCTCCACAGCACCTAACACTGCAATGCTCAGAACCTCACCTCCGAGCCACCTTCTACTGCGTTCTGAGGCTGTAAATCTACTTTTCTCTAGCCGAATGGCTGGTGGATTCCAACTGCTGACTTTTGGGCCAGCTGCTGAACAAGTGACATCTAAGCCACCAGCACTGCTCTGATCTGTAAATAGGAGGGAGTCAGTCCGTTTGCACTGTGAAGCCTGAAGTCCTTTATATGTTTCTTCTGAATGCCAATTGTTTGACGTGGACATCTCACTGAAAAAAATCCACTTCCTGGAGAAACTGCTCAACTGTCACATGGAAAAGCTTCTGGATCACAAGACACATGGCAGGTGGGGGCTCAGGGATGTGAGGGGGTTCTCTAGTTTTTCTAAGTCAGACATCTGTCACCTCCTTTCCCAGCTTTCAGGAGGGAGTCCCGGGCTCCTGTGTCCCCACAAAGGCTTACTGCAGGCTCTCACTCTAAGACCACACACACCGTGCTCTGTGCTCATTTCTTCCCACATGCCTCTCACTAACCAGTGAATTCCTGAAAGCAGAATCCACTGCCATCAAGTAGATTCCAACTCAGAACAGCCCGACAGGACCCAGCACTACAGGGCGGTGTCTCCCCCATCAATGCAAACTCACTGTGCCCCAAGCGTCTTAGCCAAGCCTGGCAGCTGTTGCTGTCAAATTTGCTTTATGCAGGTGGTTGGTATGTGCTGTTGAGTTGCCTGCGACTCACAGCGGCCAATGGTCAAAGTAGGCGTTCTTTACTAAAAAAACCACAACTCTAACTCACTGCTGTAGAGGAGGAACTGACTCATAGCTGACCCTCCATTACTCCCAAAGCTGGTAATAGAAGGAGACTCCCCATCTCTCTCCCAAGGGGCGGGCGGCTGGTGGTTTCAAATCGTCAGAGAGGTATGGCCTTCGGGTGAGCAGTGCAGCTCCCTACACATAACACACAGCCCCTGCTGGTCTGAAGGCCTGGGGGTTGGCAGTGCAGCTCTACACAGACGACACACAGCCCCTGCTTGGTCTGAAGAAGACGTCAGGGAATACAGTGGTTTATGTGTCATCACACCTTTTGCTGTTCACATCACAGGTTAGAGATGCATTTAAAAAGGTGGCTAACAGGAGTTCTGGCAAAGAAGAGGACCAAGAGCCTGTCTGGGAATCCTGACAACAGCTGTAAAACACTTTACCGACTTACATATTCTTGGACCCAGGAGTCTATTTTCTGAAACTTGACTGAAATAAATTATTGAATAATTTGTACAAGAAGGTCAAGAATGTCCACTGCAGTGTTATTTAAAATGGGGGTAAAAATTGAAGTGTCCACCTACAAAGAGCCATTTTAGACCTCGGAAGTCATCTCGTTTAACTATTTCACTCTGGGCACCTTTCCAATCACTGTCGCACAGCTCATTAGTGACACGACCAAAGTCAGAGTGCAGGTTTGAAAAGAACAACATGCCCAGAAGTTAGGTGGCTTCTTAATACACTACTGATGACATAAGCTTGGGGGAGCAGACGTCAGTGGAAAATACCAGCAATGAGAGAGGTAAGCTCGGAACCTCCACGCCCTCCAGTCCCCTCGGCATGTGGGACGCCTTTCTTACACCTCCTCTCAGAAGATTTCTCAGAACTGCAAGTCTCATAAACGTTGAGACTGACTAACTGCATTATCATCCAGTGGGAACTCTAATCCCATCACACCAACAGTGCCGGTAACCAGACAGCGAGTGGTGCTGTCTACACGGAGGCTGATTCACAGGGGGCAGAATGGACAGCCCAGGTGCGCTGGGATCCTCCCTGCTCAGCCTGAACCTGATCGTTGCTCTCACCTCTTCTCTGGTAACGTCCATGTTCCACACGGCAATTCCACCGTCAGACGAGCAGGAGACCAGCTGCCTCGTGAGCTGAAGGTAGCACAGCGACTGCACCCTGTCACTGCAGAGGGGACAGACAGACACTTCTCTCAGCATGGGGCAGCAAGGGACAGCACGGGACGGCATGGGGCGGCACGGGGCGGCACGGGGCGACAAAGGACGACATGGGACGACATGGGATGACATGGGGCGGCATGGGACAGCAAGGTACAGCAAGGGGCAGCAGGGGGCAGCATGGGGCAGCATGGGGCAGCATGGAACAGCATGGAACAGCAGGGGGCAGCATGGAACAGCAGGGGGCAGCATGGAACAGCATGGAACAGCATGGAACAGCATGGAACAGCATGGGGCAGCATGGGGCAGCATGGGGCAGCATGGGAAAAGATAAGCTCCTCATCCTTAACTCTGAATCTGCAATGAGCACTTCACCTTTTCATCTATCTGGCATGGTTATTTAGTCACATAGGTATGTAGTTTAAATTTCAGGTCACTCTATAAAGGATTGTACAGAATAGCAATTTCCATCAAACAAATATCCTGTATGTGGAATCAGCTGTTAAGAATCACAGGCGGGAGGAGCCGAGACCTCTAGTTAGAGTTCAGGAAGCCGCCCTCTGCTTCACGGCTCTGGTGGCGCAGTTCGCAGTGTTCTGGCTTCTCCCACGGTCTCCATCACCAGCCACTTCCAGAGAGAGGCAGGCGATCTCCTCCCCTTTGAATTTACATCAGAAACGCGAGGGAGGGTCACTGAGAGCCAAAATCGAGTCGATGGCAGCGAGAGGGCTAGTGCAACAATGAATGAGTGGAAGCCCAAAATCTCTGTAAATGTTTATGAAAATTAATGAAATATAATTATAGAAAAAAAAAAAAGAAGAAGAACCGCTAGGATATTTTTTAAGGGGCTCAAGACTTATGTATTTGATTATAAACAAAAAAGAGCTCCCTTATTAGAAAACAATCTCTATAAACCAAAATCAAAGACTCCCGAGATTACTGACAGGCGTGTGTGTGAGCATAGACAGTGAAGACATCCACACCTTTCTGTCTGCTCAGCTGTCTGCTTGAAAAGACCACCTTCCAGCTTCTGGGTGCTTGTGTGGTGCCTCTGACCACTGTCCAGCGTAATACTGTGTGTAATGAACAGCCACAGCCCACAGAACAGTCAGGAGTAGAAGGGAAAGGCCTGAGCATGGCCAGACCAGAGTCACTCCAAACCATAACGTAACCCCGCCCAGGGAAACACAGACTTCAGAATTTAGAAAAACAAGCTCAGCATCCAGTTAGAGAAGGCTTACATTCTTGTATCACATTACCCACAACTGTCCAAGGTCAAAGTCCTCACTGCAGTCTCTAACCCACATCTGCCTTTTAAGAACAAACAGGCTTCTCAGAAAGCAGGAAGTGCTCTTTAGCCTAAGATCCTCAGAACAGCAAGAAGCAGGCACAAGGGTAACGAGCCCTGTGGAGCTGTGAAGATGGTGCCGAAAGCGAAGAAGGAAGCCCCCGCCTCTCCCAAAACTGAAGCCAAAGCAAAGGTGTTAAAAGGCCAAGAAGGCGTCCTGAAGGGCGTCCACTGCCAAAAAAAAAAAAGGAAGAAGATCCGCAGGTCACCCACCTTCTGGCGGCCCGAGACGCTGAGACTCCGAAGGCAGCCCAAATACCCCCGGAAGAGCGCCCCCAGGAGAAACAAGCTTGACCACTATGCCATCATCAAGTTCCCCCTGACCACTGAGTCAGCCATGAAGAAGATAGAAGATCACAACACACTTGTGCTCGTTGTCAAGTCAAGGCCAACAAGCACCAAATTAAACAAGCTGTAAAGAAGCTCTAAGACATTGATGTGGCCAAGGTCAGCACCTTTATCAGGCCTGATGGAGAGAAGAAGGCCTATGTTCTACTTGCTCCTGACTATGATGCTTTGGATGTTGCCAACAAAATTAGGATCATCTAAACTGAGTCCAGTGGGCTATTTTTCTCACAAAAAAAAAAGGACAGGGCTGGGGGCAAACAGTAAGAAGGACGAGGGTTCAGTTCCCACTGCACTCACACCAGCCAGGAAATCATTTCCTATGTGTTCCTACTATTTATAAAACTGCAATTTTGTCAATACTTTTTGTAAAACAAGACACTCTGATTAGCATGTAAGTGTGATAATGACAATAAGTGTTGACTGAGAACCTACACCAGGAATGTAAGTTCCTGACATACACAGATCTGCAGAATCCCCACAGCAGTCCTGGGACTTCAACACTATTATCACTCCGTTTTATAGATAAGAAAAGAGGCAAAGGTAGGTTACAGAGCCAGCCACAGGCCACGTGCCTCAGGGAAGCAGAGACTTGAAGCAAGGCAGTCGGGTCTCACGTCTGACATCCCAGCCACTGGCTGAATTACGAAGTTAACAAAGAAAATGTATCTCAGTCACAAAAAGACAAATACTGCATAATGCCTCTGTTATAAAAGAGGACTAGCACTGGGATTTGGGGGAGACTGAGAAAGGTGGGGTAAATAATGTTTACTGCATTGAAACAGATAAGAGAGAACTGTTAAAAAGGAATGTATGATTAGGTATTATTGTTATAACAGGAGTCCAGAATGAAGGCGGCATAGTGGAATGGACTTGGGGGGAGGGGTGAAATAACAATGAAAGAATTTTTTCTTTTACTTTTCAAAAAGAAAAGCAAACTGCGGGGGAGTGGTGGGCAGGGAGAAAAGTTCAACAATGAATGAATGAAAATCCAAAGTCTCTGTAACCTTTCATTAAAATCAATTTTTTAAAAAAAGAAAATAGCTAGTCCACGGCCCTTTATTCATTCCAGACCATGCTACACATGGGCTACTGAAAAAGAAGTCTTCTTTCAAAATGAAGTATCATATTTGGGACTGGTCAAGCCAGCCAGAACAAGCATTTAACAAATACAGGAGGAAGATGACGCTGACCCATTTTTCTTGAGCTTTATTAGTTCCCCCAGAAAACGCAGTGACTGACCCAGTTCATAAACACTCGTGTATTGTAATTATTATTTAAAGGCATTCCAGTTCAAGTTCATAATAAGCTAATAGTAAAATTAACAAGGAAAAAACCCTTGTTTTTACATGGACACCAGAAACTTTACCCACGATGGAGGGTTAATCCTGTCTCCCTGTGACACCCTTAAAACACAGCAGAACTGGGTGTCCTGGCTGAAACCTTTACCTGACTACATGTCACATCCTCCTCCTGCAGAGGTTGCAGTGTTCAAACCACTGACCTTTTGATTAGCAGTCAAGTGTTTAATCACAGCACCACAAAGACTCATTTCAGAAGGTCACAGGTAAGGTGACTCTTTTTACCAAAAGCGTTTCGTGAACAAAGTGACAGACACCCCCAAAGGTCCCTTCTGACTGCAGGTGTAACGTGTTGAGAGAGAGCAGCCTGGGCAGCTGAAAGGCATGTGTTTCCTCCCCAAAAGGCTGTGGCCACCATGGAATCCTGACTCCTCTTTCGCTTTTAGACACGATTGTGTAGTTAGTTCTTCCACTGTCTCTCTCTCCCATTGTTGCCGAGTGGGAACCAACTCAAAGCTGATGTCCCAGTGGATTTCCTGAGGCAGTAAATCACGGAGGAGACTGTCCCTTTTCCTTCTGCAGGGCCGATGGTGAGTTTGGGCGTCCGAAACGCACAGCCTTTAGGTCAGCAGTGCAAGTCTACAGACTACGTCATCAGAGCTCCCTTCTCGGGTTATAAGCAGTTTTCATTTTAGTTCTGTACTTTTCTAGGGAGCTCTGGTGGCCTAGTGTTAAGAAGCTTCACTGCAATTCCAAAGGCACGCAGTTCAAATCCACAGAAGATGGATGGACAATCTCCTCGCATGAGATTTACTGCTTGGTTCGGACTCGACAGCAACAACTTTTCCATCATAAGAAATCACAGAGCCAGCTGGTTTACATCCAATATTCCTCTTCAGCAAGAGGCTTAGAAGCAGGTACACATGGTTTTTCAACATGAACACTGCTCAGTTATCAGAAGCCATTCTGGCCTTAGCAATCTGGAGAATCCAGAGTAACCCACTGAGACTGAGGTTCAGCGTTCTGGTCTATCCGACAACGTTTGGTAATTCCATCAGAGTACGACTGCGCACCCACTGGGTATCAGGTGATGTACCAAACATGAAGACAGAGCAGGGAAAGGATGGGCACGGCCTCCCGTTCTGAGGAACCGGACTCTTTACTCTCACCTGCCTTGACATTAGGATTTTCAGTTTATTTTAACTTCTCATCTGTTTTCATAAAAACTCACCAACAACTAGCAGGTGAACATTTGGAAAGGAGGCTGATGATGATAATGTTGATGATGTAGTTGCCGTGGAGTCAAACCAGATTCCTCTTGGCGGAGTGGAGCTGCTCCATCAAGTTTCCGAGGCTGTAAGCTTTGGGAGATCACTAGACCCATTTCCAAAGCGCCTCCGGATGAGTTCAGACCACCAACTTTTCAGCTGGCAGTTAAGGGCTTCACTGCCTGTTACCTGGGGACTCGGATTCTGACAGCAGGGAATGCTTAACTTGGGACTCCCCAAGTTGATAAACAATGTTATAAAAAAGTGTACTCAATGATTCATTTTTTAATTTTGTCAATAAAAGCAGCAGAAATTTTACCACAAAGGCAAAATGTAATAAAATATCAAAAATAACTGCAAAACAGACCAAAAAGGTTATTGCTGTTGTTATGTGCCAACGGGTCGACCATTGCTCCTTGCGTCCCTGTGCACACAGCGTTGAATCCTGCTCTCCCGTGGCTGGGCCAGTCTCCCTGTCTCTGACACACCTACCCCCTCCTTGCCCCACTTACTGTGCCAATCCACCTCATCCAGGATCTTCCTCTCTTGCGCTGCCCTTTCACCCTTCCAATCATGATGTCCTTCTCCAATGACCGGTTGCTCCTGGCAACATGCCCAAAGTATGTGCAATGGAGCATCAAAATCCTTGCCTCCAAGGAACAGCTTGGCTTCAGCCTCTCCAAGACACACCAGTTAGCTGTTGGTTCTCTTGGCAGTCCATGGTATGTTCAGTCCTCTTCTGCAGGACCACAACTCAAAGGCATCGATTCTTCTGTTCTCTTTGGTCACTGACCAGCTCTCTGATGCACAGCGACTGACACTGTTGGTCTTTAGCACTTTGGAGAGGACCTTGGCAGCAGATTTTCCTAATGCAATTTGTCTTTTGATTTCCTGACTGCTGGTACCAAGAGTGTTAACTGTGGAACCAAGCAAGCTGAAACTGTTAACAATTTCAATCTCCTCTCCATATACCATGATGCTGCCAAGTGGCCCAGTGGTGTTTTCCTTACAATGAGCTTCAATCCATATTAAAGACTACAGTCCCTAAACCTCTGTAAGCAAATGCTTCAGAGCCTCCTCAGTTACAGCAAGGAAGGTTGTGTCATCTGCATAACGCAGATTGTTGATGAGTCTTCCTCCAATCCTGATGCCACATTCCTCCTCAAAAATCCAGGCTCCCAAATGATCTGTCCCACGGTTACATTGAAAAGGTATGGAGATAGGACACATCCCTGACATACTCCCTTCCAGGTTTTGAACCATGCAGGTGTTTCCTTGTTCTGTTCTGGTAAATGCCTCCTGGTCCCAGTACCTGTTTCACATTAGCACAATCAGGTGTTCTGGGATTCCCATTCTTCTAACTGGTTAGCTACAATTTGTTGTGAGCCACATAGTCAAATGCCTTTGCATAGGCCATGAAGAACACAAAAGGTCACCACAAAGACAAAGGACGATGAAAAGACCTATGTGGATGTCGGAACAGAGTCAGAGTATTGCACTAGAGTGCTGAGAAGCCAAAGCAAAGAGAAGAAACCAGGTGTTAACGAGTTGAACAGATTTCAAAGGACAGCTTGGGAAGACAAAACGAAGTGTTATAATGAAATGTGCAAAGAGCTGGGGAAATGGTTACTCGTGCCAAAAACAAACTGCTGCCTGATCCCACAGCACCAGCATAAAATGGATCAAAATGTTCACATGTTCAAAATCAGGATGTGAAGCTGTTTGCATTGTCAGTTTATAGCACAAAGATTACATCAACACTAAGGATAACTTTCAAGTGGAAGAAATTATCTTCAAAAAGAAGACGCAAAGCAAAGTGTCTAAACCTAAGCTTGGATGCTCAGCTGTACTGAAACGAGAGCTTACAACCAAGTTAAAATGCCTAATTCCATAGTGTCTTTCAAGGGGACTGCTATCAAATATATCAAGACTCTGAACCATAATAAAGATCGGTTTGATCTCCAGAACCGAAGCATACAGCCCTGATGACAACTGTTATTATACTACATGCTAGTTCTCCAGCTCTACTCTTGAGAAAGATTCATGCATCTCTCCACAGTATCAGAAGGCTAGCATTCTCCCTGCCTCCCGCCAAGCTCGGATCCCCTGGCCCTCGCCCCGGTCACGTACTGATGGCCCTGAAGCAGTAGTGTCCGGCCTTTCCTTCCTCCGATGTCCCACATGATGATGCTGTTGTCAGAGGCTCCTGAGAAGAGTAACCGCTGCATAGGGTCCCACCAGAGGCAGGCAACACTACCTAGAGGATTCAGAGAGAAAGAGAGAGAGAGGAGAGAAATGAAATATAACTCAACAGTGCTGCTGTGTGCCACTGATTTCAACTCCAACTCACAACAGGGATTCCTCGGCTGAAATCTCTACTGGAGAAGACGGCCACGCCTTTTCTGCCTTTTCTCCTGAACAATTACCAGAATGCATTCTGCCCATTGCAAACCACAGAATACTCACAAGCTTTGAATCACAACAGTATGAGTCATAAATGTACTGTGATCTCTGGCACAAATCTGGTTTTTTTTGTTGTTGTTGCTGATTAGAATAAACGTTTTTAAAATTTATTATTAATTTCAATGAAAATTTAGAGAGACTTTGGAATTCCATTCATTCATTGTTGCACTTTTCTCCCCTCCTGACACTCGCGCCCCACCCCCCAGTACTCTACCCCCTTGAAAAAGTAAAATAAAAATGTTTTCATTGTTTTACAATCCCACAAATCTGTTCTAAAGAGACTACTCCCTTTTCTTCCTCTACCCTACAAGGTTCCCACTTGATACAGTCTATGCCAATTAAGCAAGTTAGCTAGAAAGTCAAATCCATTTAATCTAAGCCAGACAGCTTCAAAGCTTCTAATTTGTACCTCGCATCAGAATCTGATCCTGTGGTCCAAATACATTTACAGCATGTTGTGTTCTTGTTAAGTGCTATCAAGTCATAGACAACTCATAGCGACCCTATGAATGAAAGTCCTCAAAACTTGTGTGACTTTCACCCTTTCTCCAGGTTCATAGGGTTTTCAGAGGCAAGCTATTTCCAAAGTGGATGCCACTCCTGCTTCCAAGCTTATTTTAATTGGGGAGCTCCACCAAACACTGTCCACCGTGGGTAACCGTTATTGCATTTGACACACTTTACAGCTTAGTATTCAATTAAAAAAAATATATTTCTTATGCATCTGTGCATGAGTTACCCGACACAGCTGATGAGATATCAAACCCGTCGGAGGGTTTGGGGCGCTCCCTGCACTGTGGAAATCACAGATCCCACCCTCGCCTGGGCTCTCCTCTCTCAGTTCCTGGCAGGGCATGTTTGCCAACAACAGGCACACCTCATTTTACTGTGCTTTGCAGATACTGCATGTTTTACAAACTGAAGGTCTAGGGTAGCCCTGCATTCAGGAAGTCTTTTGGGGCCACGTATCAACAGAATGTGAGCACCTGCTGGATCTGAGTCACCTTCTGGAAATTCTCAGAATATTTCAAACATTTTCCTAATGCTGCTGCATCCTTAATATCCTACAGTATCATGTGTAAATGTAACTTTTATAAAAAATGGGGGAAACCAGAAAACTCATGTGACTTGCTTCATGGCATGATTCACTTTCTTTACAGTTTCTTTACATTTCCTCTAATGCTGTTATTCATCGAGCAAACTGACAAAAAACCAAAATGGAACAAAACCCTACCAAGTGAAAAAGAACAAAATTCTCCCAAAGGTCTTGCCATCTACAGGGAACTGCATAAAAGTCTTTTGAAAAGAATATTTTAATTTAAAAAATAATCAAGGTAACTCAACACTCTACTCCCACGTCTGGTCAATCAAATTTAAATCCAAATCTGAGTTGTAAAGATCAGTCATGAAACCAACGTTAAGAAGTGAAACCAGAGCAAAGAACTTAGTACTCAAATTAGGTGGAAACTCCGCAGGGATTACAAGCCTACCTTCGTGTCCTTTGAGGGTTGTGATAACTGAACAGGTGTTCTGCTCAAGCTTCAGCAGAGTGATCTGTCCAGAATAGTCCCCGACAAAAGCATACTGAGTATCAAAATCGTATCTGAGGAGAAGCAGTCAAGGATGAATGACCCAGTGCATCTCAAAATTCTCCCACAAAAGCTACCCGTTTTAATCAAAGTCATAAAGCAGAAAACATGTCACTGTAATTAATCATAAAGCATGACAAAGGAAAACTCAGCTAGAACAACATGGCTTTTTATGCAATCTGGAAATGGGGTCAAATGGAAAGCAAGCACAGGACAGGAACACGCCCTTCTTTACAGGAGAAGGATGGTTTCAGATGGCTGGGACAGCTTTTAAAATCCAAAAGTAGATAATTAGATAGTTAGTACACTGACACTTTAAAATATATTACATATAAATATATATGCATATACATTAACTATCGGTAAACACTTTCTAAATTTGTAGTCATAAAAATTCGTGGGAAACCACTGAATAATTACTATTTTAACTCCTAGGCAGGCAGGAGTCCCTTGGGCTCGGTCAGGTGCTCTTCTCTGGAAAAGCGCCCGAGAAGCCTAGCACATGTGCTCAGTTCTAACACGCACCCTTAGTATTCTACCCTCACCTGAGGCTAAAGTTTTAAAGGCTTACTTCAAAATACCTCATGTATTTTTGTTCATTTGATGCAAACCTCTTTGAGAAAGGTTTTCCGTGCAAAGAAAGAACTGTCCTCTGCCAGACAGCCAGCGACTCTGAGAAACCACCATGAGCAGCGCACGTGGACAGCAGCACCGGTGTCTCGTCCCCAAGAGGCCCAGAAACGACCAGAACACACCAGCAAGGCCAGATCTCCGTGAAACAAACTTTTACATTCTAACAGGAAATTTCTAACGCAGTTATTTTTAGTACTTTCATATCCTGAGGCCCTCTTGAGACTATAAGGGTTATAATCTTCTTCCAGCAAAAGCATTAAACAAAGGCTTGGTTTTATCTTGAGGGGTGTACACTAGGAAGACTCCTTGTGGTCCATTTATGATCTTGGGGCCACAAATGCTTATTACAGGGGTACAGCCATCCCTTACAGGGTATATCTTCCTGTTGTTTCTGCAAATAACCAACTACTAGAGGATTAATCTATGTTCTTCCTTGCAGAACCAAAAGCCTTTCAATCTGACATACAAAGAAATGAGGGGACATGTCTGTGTCAGTGAAACTTGGCTTTTCCATGATTTTGCATTAAAACCAGTTGGACCCAACGGTAATGGGTCTGGCTCAGCTTCAGCATCCCCTGGGAGAGAGCAAACATTCATTTAGTGCTAGTTCCAATAATCTGATTTTCTAACAAAGTTCTTGGATTTCATATGAAACAAGTACCACTCAAGTAGGACCAGTCTTTGGATCTCAATCAGCAACAGGACAGATTGAAAGCTCAATATTGGGACGCGAAGGCGGAGCGCTGGGAGAGGAGGAAGCCCGGTGCCCCAGAAGAAGGATACTGTAAACACGAGGCCCAGGAGGCAAAGAAGTGCCTCCCGAGCATGTTCCCACTCCGCGTGCACATCCAGCTGACACACTTGTCGTGGCCGGTGCTGATGACCCACTCTGCAGCCAAGCTGAAGATGATGGCAGACACCCGGTTCTGATGAGCTGCAGGGACAGAAGGGAGAGTGCGTGAGTCTCAGAGAGCAATGGGATCCTCGGTGCGACTGTGGAGACGTGCCTGCAGATGCCGGCTGGCAGGGCTCCCCAGTCCCAAGCGAGGACGACAGCCCTCCACCCCCAAGGGTGTGTGGACCCAGACCACACACCCAGAAGGCCACGAGAAGCGACAAGAAATCATTAGGGAGTCATGGCCAACAAGTGGATAACTGCTTTGTCTACTGCAAACAAGGGAGCATTTTTAAGCATTTTAATGTTTCTAGAACATTTACTGTTTCTGGCGTAAGTCCTGTTGATGTGTGAGTTCCTATTGTTTACAGAGAAAAAAGTTTTGGAAATTTCTCTTACATGAGCTGAGAAAGTGGAAGTGTGTATCTATTAGCTCAATTCTCAAATATTTGCATTTTTAGGTCGAATATAAGTCACACCTGTCTTCTGCTGCACCTGGAGCTCCCACAGTGTTGGGTATGCAGTAGGTGCTCAATAACTGCCCGGTCAGATAATGAAGTGTCAGAGCTAGACACTGCTTCAGAAGGGCGAGAGACCATTTTCCCGAAAGCCTTTCTGTGTGTCGGCTCCACCAGAGCTCGGAAGTTACACTGTGCAGTTAAAGACTCGTAGGAAGATCCCAGAACCCAAAGGAGACAGCTATCGATCTAGGCGAGTCTACGTCAAGTCTTGGGTAAAGACAACAGCATCTGCTGAGGCCTCACTCGGGGATGAGGCTGTTCTTCTGCTGTTGTGTCATTTTCAACTTGCAAAAACGACTTTCAAGGTACACAGAGTGTCATTTTGCAAAAGGAAAAAAACCAGAGAAGCTGTCAGGTTAAACACAGGGCCAAATTTCCAAGACATGATAAAGTTAAGGGGTCTGCCTGACTCCACCTACGTTCCCCACTGGCCAAAGCTGTGGAACTCAGCTCAGTGGGAAAGTTTACACTATCTTGTGGTCTGAGTTACACGGCTGGCTATCCTTTTTCTGGGAACAACTGGTTTTCTTTCTAAGAGGACATTCTTTCTGCTGTTTTGCTTTTAAGTCTTTTCTTCTATAACATCACATATAGCACAGTGATGTCTGTCTCGCTCCATTTTTACTTTTAATCTCCCTCTCTGGGCACAATAAAAGCTGGCAATCTCTGCTTTAGTTCCCCTAATGTGTTTTTTCTTCCTTTTTTAAAAATTTTATTTTATTACATTTAATGAACATTTACAGAGATTTTTTGGATTTCCATTCATTCATTGTTGCACTTTTCTCCCTGCCCAGCCTCCCCGCCCCATTTCACTCCTCTCTTTGAAAAGTAAAAGAAAAATTCTTTCATTGGTATACAATCCCCCTGCACCCCTCCCACTGCCCCGAATACACTCCACTATGCAACCTTAATTGTGGATTCCTGTGATAACCATAATACCCTATCATACATTGCTTTTAAATTATTCTCTCCCTCATCTGTTTCAACGCAGTATACATAATTTATCCAGTTTTTCTGTCTTACCCTAACCCTGATGTCAGTCCAATTCTACAACAGTGGCACCGTGCAGTATTTGTCCTTTTGTGACTGAGATACTTCACTCAGCATAATGTCGTCCAGGGTCACCCACTTTGTATAATATTTCATGAGTTCTTATTTTTCAATGCAGCATAGTATTCCATTGTGTGAATATACCACAGCTTCTCTACCCATTCGTTTGTTGATGGGCTAATGTGTTTTCTAAACTGTTGTTGTTAGGTGCCATCAATTTGAGTGCAACCTATAGCGATGCTATGAACAACTGATCTGACCCCTGTCCTATTCTGTGCTGTCCTCACACTTCTTGACAGACACACTGAGTCCACTGTGGCAGTCACTAGGTCAATCTACCTGGTCGTGGGTTTTCCTCCAAGCATCATGTCCCTCTCCAAGGAACAGCCTCTCCTGCAGCATGTCTGTGAGGGGAAGCTGTTATCATTTTTGCCTCCAAGGAGTACTCTGGCTACATTTTCCCCAAGACATATTTGTTTGTTCTTTTGGCAAAAGTGTTAATAGTCAGTAAGTAGGTTTTTTTTTTTTAAATTTTTTTCTTTTATTTCAATGAACATCTACATAGATTTTGGAATTCCATTCATTCATTGTTGCACTTTTCTCCCCGCAATAGTAAGTTGTTTAAAGAAATGTTAACAGTAAATAAAACGTAAATGGAAATTACTACAAACACTATGCTGCTTAGTGGGTTAGGAAGAACTCTGAAAACCAAAATCGATAAAAATACCACTAGACATGTTAATGTGACTCAATTTAATGACAAATATGCCTTTTTATTATACTATTCATCGGGCAATTTTAAAAAGTCTTCAATTTCTTACATATGAACTCCATAAAGGACTTAAGCATTCTTGACTATTTTTCACACAAACACCTTTGAGAATTCAAAGTTAATGGTTTTAATGAAGGATAAAGAACTCAAGAAACACTGTGTAACATGGATGAATCCAGAGGACATGATGTGGAGTAATAGAAGTCAGTCACAAAAGGATAAATATGGTAAAAGAGCACGATTACCGAAAGCTAAGGACAAGTTTATACACAGAGTCAGGCTTAGGTGGTTACCAGAGATGACAAGAGAGGGAGAGGGGAGTAAAAAAAAAAACCCAAAAAACTAGATTATGTTGTGTGAAGGGAAAAATAATAAACAATAAGGCATTCAGCAGATATAAGTGATGTTACAAGTGATTGAAAAAATCAGTATGATTGTATGAAACACAATGTGAAAGAAGGATAGTGTGAAACACAATGTACAAAAACTAAATAAGCAAACAGAATAAAAAAAATTCTAAAACAATTTGGAAAATTACTCAAGGGCATTAAAAACCATTATAAGGTTTGACCTAGTTACTCCACTTTTCAGAATTTGTTTTAAGGATGTAATTAATTACAAATTTAGGAGTGTGGGGAGGGGGTGGGCAGGGAAAAAAGAGCAACAATGAATGAATGGAAACCATAGGTCCCTTTAAACTTTCATTAAAATTAATTAAAAAAGTGTGAATAATAGCCAAGGAAACACAGACACACACATATGTGTAATATGTATGTCCATACATATATACTATAGTGTATATTTTTTAAAAAAACAGAAGCAGCACAAAGTCCAAAAGTAAAAGAATGGCTAAATGAAATCTGATACATGCACGCAATCGAATACAATACAAAACCTTTTTTAAAAAAATATATACAAAATCTGAAATGTCAGATAATTCTAAAAAGCCGTGATTTCTCATAAGATTGGACAAACAAAACTTAAAAGCTAGCATGAAAACCTAATTGTGATCAGAAGAGATGGTACTTTGTGTGTGTGTGTGTGTGTGTGTGTGTGTTATATCTGTACTTATGAGTGTATAGGAATGTATTATCATAGTTACCTGGGTAGGTCTTGATAAAGTTCATCTTATTAAAATCTTCCGAAACATGAAATTCCTAAAAGTAAATATATGCAATTAGAAAACAGTTTGGTTTAAAAAATGGAAAGAATTTTAACTATTAGGGCAAAGTAAAACTTAAAATACAGTTATCATAAGATTGAGGTATAAGATTAGCTATTAAAAATTACTGCCTTCTTTATGAAATTTTCACGCACTCACATATAATTTTTCTCCCCCCCTAGGGACCATAAAGCAAGTTCTGCTGCCCAGGGTGGTGTGTGTGGCCAGCCTGTCCTCCACAACTGGGCGCTCTCCATGTTCTCTCTCTGACCACCAAGGAGGGGCTTTTGTTTTGCTTTTAAATTATGCTTTCTTGGCTCCACTAAGAATTCCTCAACATAATCAATACAAAAGTCCAATAATGCAACATACCATATTAACTGAATAAAGGAAAAGAGAAGCATTAGCATGTCTGTACATGCAGGAAATCACCTGACAAACTCCAGTAGCCTTGTATCATAAAATGGCTCAATAACCTTAAGAATGTAAGAGTTTACAAAGGAATTTTCTCAATATGAGACAAAGGACACCCACAGAACACTTAACAGCTGACATCAACCAGGTGCCATCAAGCCAGTACCGAATCATACTCAGGCTATTTCCAAGAGAACGGCCATGCAGTCCTGTACCACCCACACCATCTGGTGCACCTGCGTCTACTGCTGCTGTCAGGGGGGGAGGGTCCTCCTATTTTTTATTGATCCTCTAAAACTACAGTCATATTCAACTTTCAAAGACTACAAGCTTTCCCCAGAGATTCAGAATGAACAAAGCAGGAAAATAAAACACAGTCTTCAAACTGGATTAGAACACATCTGACTGCCTGTGTTTTTAAATGATACGATCTTATATACAGGAAATCCTAAAGATTACACAAACAGAGAGAAAGTTCAAAAAAATAGACTTAATATATTAAGAGTTCAGCAAAACCGCATGACACAAGAGGGACTCAGGAAAAAATCAGTTGTATTTCTACACACTTGAACAATAAGAAATGAAACAATAATTTCATTTCAATAGCATAAAAAAAGTTCAAATGTAACAAAGAAGTACAAAACTTGTACACTGAAAACAACAAAACATTTCTGAAAAAAAATTAAAGATGTAAAGAAATAGATGATTTGCATTCATAGACTGGAAATTAAGATTGCCCTACAGGCAGCCCCTGACGTACAATGTATCTCAGCTACGCTGAACCACACTTACAACTGTCTGTGTAGGTGTATTTTAGAGAAAAGAATATACACTGCCAGTAGGGGCATTTACTACCCACAATGATAAGCACATAATTTTCTGATGTGATCATTCGCAGATACCTACCTACAGACTTCCAGCAACTCAATAAACTTGTTTTGTCATAATGTACTGTTCAAAACACTGCCAAGCCACAGGAAATAGGTTGGGCCACACATGTGTTAAGTGTCTTTGCAACTAGTGTGGTAAGAAGCTGCACTGCAATCCCAGAGGTGAGTGGTTCGAATCCACCAGATGCTGTGCTGGAGAAGCAGGAACAATCTCCTCCTGTCCCAGTCAGATACGATTCAATGGTACACACACACACACACACACACTCTCTCTCTCTCTCAGTAATTAAAATCTCTCTCTCTCTCTCTCTCAGTAATTAAAAAACAAATTTTTTTTTAAGAGTTCTTGTAGACGGAAAGCTGGGCAATGCTCCTAACATAAGACAAATGGTCTATACGTGCATCCAGCAGCTGTCCCGACTTTGAACTTCATTGTTATACAGTGACGTTAACTTTACTGCAACCAGGTCTACAGTGCAACCATGTCCTGTCCTTCACACCATCAGAAGCATCAGTTCTTGATCTGAAGGTGAGCTACTCAGGTTTCTCACACCTGCATTACTTAAGCCACTGTGAAGATGTCTAGAAATAAAGAGGTCCTACTGCTCTAAATAAGAATTGAAAAAAACCAGACAGAGAGGCTCAAGAAATAGATTTAAAGACAGAAATCGCCTAGGCCTATGAAAACACTAAGTCTGCAAAACACCAAGGGACGAAGGATGGTCTCACTTGATTCTTCTGACAAATACTGAAGATGAGAATAGGAATGGAGCCAATCAAAGGGACAACTGGCATAAAATCCACCATCCTAACAGAAATGGAGAAGCTACTGAAGATGTAAAAAGAAGGCCAAACTCCAGGAGGAGTTTCCTTTTGAGTTAACTGACAATTCAAAATTCTAAAAATCTGAAACAACCAGAAAAAAGCTACTGCAATTGCTTTCATTTAAACTCTGGTTTCACTGTTTCAGATTAAGATTTAGTTTACATATTGTTTTTTATTTACTTGTTTTTATAGCAAATATGCTTTATTTATGCTTTCATGAAAACAGACTAAGGCTTAACTGGCTCCAGCTCACATATTGTTTTATTATTTTAACTGGAGAAGCAGCAAGCACCAGCATTGAACAGCTGGAAAATTCAAAAATAGACTGCACAAGGTAATACAAGACGAAGGGCTTTCAATGTGGATGAAACAGGCTTGCCAGAAGGGAGGAAACAAAGAACAGAGTTGCTGCCTGGTTTCAAGGCTTTTAAAGATGAACCAGGCTGCTGCTGGCCTGAACTGAAAAACCCTTCCTTGTCTCTTGTTCTGACCCAATCATTCAAAACACTGACAATAAGAAGCTGCTGGTCTACAACATATTTCAAGACCTGAATGAGGGAGAACTGCATTTTCTGGGAGGAAGTTACGGCAAAATGCACAGAAGGCATATGGAAAAAACTGCTGAGTTACAAGATGATATGATGGAAGAGACGGGTGGAAAAATTGTTCATAAGGCAAGAATTCTGAATTTAAAACTTACTATCTTCGATGTGGAAAAAAAAGAATGGATTTTTAAGACGAAAGCAAGAAAAAGTTAAGAATTTTTACACTGAAGGGATTAAACTGAAGTCTGTTTTAAACTAACTTTAGAACTCCAGTAACTAGAAAATATGGGACTCAAGCGCTGATCACTTGGCCATCAGCAATCAAAGTCAGGGAACAGTGAGCTATTACTGTGAAATTCATGAATAAAAAGATCCTACAGGAAACTCCCACTGATTTGCTGGCCAGAAACAATATCCTCATTCCCAGGGGTAATCTATATGATATGACCCAGGACCTTCCACAAGTAGACTTACACCACAAGTGACAAAAAGCCAACCCTGTCCAACCCTTCCTTACCACTGGAGTGAATTTTCATGAATGGTATGCTTTTTATACATGTATTAAAATCTATGTATAAATTTAAATGTAATATTTCCAACCCTCAAAGACAAAAATCAAAATTATCAAGACATTGATAACAGGGGCGGGCAGGGAGAAAAGTACAACAATGAATGAATGGAAATCCAAAGTCTCTGTAAATTTTTCATTAAAATTAATAATAAAAAAAGTGACACTGATAATAAGAGACAATAATAACAAAAACAAAGAAATCAAAGTAAGGTGTTTGACTTATGTCAGAACTGCTTTTGCATGGAGTCGTGGCAACAGAGTCTGTTAAAGGACTCCTGTACCCCCCAAAGTTATCTACTCATTTATACAACCCCCAGGAAAAGGCCCACGGCCTTTTCTGAAACTTGGACAAGATGATTCTGATATTCACATGTAAATGTTGTGAAAGCTTTACCCTGTGGGAGAGCCGGAACATCAAATCAGCAACCACAATGACATTCTGTAACCAAATTAAAATTAATGCAACTCTAGGCCCAACATTTATGGCTGAATTAGCTACTTTTAAAAGATACTGGTCAATACAATGAGGGCACTTGTTAAGTTTATTACTGTGGATACGGATATTGGGGGGGGGGTAAATAGAAAGAATACAGTAAGTATATGCTGGAGGTGACCTACCATGATGGCTCCATTATCCTGGCCCACAAATATCCGTCTACTATCATGATGGTAAGCCATAGCAGAGCAAGGAGCTGCCAGAAAGACAAAGAGCACATGAAGAGATTAAGAGCAAAGCCGAGCATTTCAAGTCATTGTCCCAAGTACTCTGTACAAAAGAGCTGTTTGATCTAGAAGGCAAAAACTGTGTGGGCTATCCTGACATGCCTCCCGTTAGCCTGGAAAAACCTGCAGGCTGGCACTGAACGTGGGTGATCTGCTACCTAATATTCAGTAGGTCATCCTGTCCCTCTTGTTCCAGAATCACTGGACACAGGAACTCCCAGCCTCAGGACTTCAAAGGATGCATGTAATTAAGCATGAGGAATGGCGGGAAATCCGCCTCAGGATTGTTTCATCACAACGGTCAAAGCTTGCTCCCTTTTTGCAATGACCCACACAACTCGGTCTGTAGGAAGTGGAGTTGTGAGGCAGAGACATGAGGCTTTGTCTCCATCAGTGCAGAGGACTAGAGGGGTGTGTGCTGCCTCTTACACGCACACGCCTTCCACATGCCACCCACAGCTGTTGCAGAAATCACGAGGAAGGCAATGATTTCCAGGAAGGAGACATACTCAGTCTTCTCCCAGGAAAAGTGAGCATTAAAGGGATTTAAAGAATGGAGCATCTGGAGGAGTGTCTGGGGACACGTTAGCCTCAGGAATTTTAACTGACCGGGGAAGAAGCACAGCAAGCAAATGCAGGCCACGAAGAACACATCTGAGTTTATTCTGAAATATAATTTCTAATAAAGTCACAGGAAACAAAACAACTTATGAAGAAAGTCACCCTTCGAAGACGCTCAGTTTTAAAGCTCTCTCTTATAAGGGGCTAGTATTTACCATCATTTAAATAAGAAGGCAATCTCCGGATTATACCCTAAACAGTAGACACAGACTGGCCTGTTAATAAGATGGGGTGAGGCCCACTGGGAGACACATGTTCAGAGTAATCACCTGTACAGAGAACAGTAAGAAGTGACTACATCCTAGCTGCCACTGGGGTTTGGGACCATAGAGGACGCTTGTGTGTGTTTGGTTTATTATTTTTTGTGTGTACCGTCAAATCAGATCTGACTGATACAGGAGGAGATTGTCCCTCCTTCTCCAGCAGAGCATTTGGTGGATTTGAACTGCGCACCTCTGGGATTGCAGTACAGCTTCTTGCCACTAGGCCACCAGCGCTCACCAAGAAGATGCTTGTGTTTAAAAATTGTAATTACAAATATTTATGCTTGATGCTGCTGTTGTTATGCACCAAGGACCCGGAACCCTCCAGCAGGTTTTCAGAGGCTGTGAATTGCAAAGGTGGAAACTGTTCACCTTTCTCTAACAGAGCAGCTGGTAGATTCAAGCCATGTGCCTTTGGCTCTGCAGTACAACTCCTTACCTCCGCCTTCACGTAAACAAAGTACTCTTTAATTACCACGTATGCAAATTATCGTTTCATTTTATTAGAACTCAAATGATGATTTGCCAATTTCAAAGATTCACTGTCATTGTTTTTGCTTAATCTTCAACTGGCACTAAATCTTCACTGTATCAGTTTGGTGTTTTGTTTTTTTAATTTATTTTTTATTATTTTTTACGCATACCATCAAATCAGATCTGACTGGTACAGGAGGAGATTGTCCCCCCCTTCTCCAGCAGAGCATCTGGTGGATTTGAACAGCGTACCTCTGGGATTGGAGTGCAGCTTCTTGCCAGTAGGCCACCAGTGCTCCCTTCATTGTTACCAGTTTTAAGATATTGTTTGGACAGAAAAATAATTCTTATTTCTTCTTGTTCTTTTATCTTCAATTCTATTACCCAAATACATGCAAACTTTCCCCTTCTGTTTAAAAGTGCAATGTGCTGACTGAATTTACGAGGTTAATTTTTTTTAAAGGAAAAAAGCTTTCCTAGTTTATATGATTTGTATACAAGGACATCTTAGTTGTTTTTCCTAGAAGGGAAACTTCTGGTGAAATAATATAAACTTTTTTTTTCAAGAACAAGGAAAATTGTTTTAGATATTCATGTAATTTTATAAAAGAGTGAAAAATAAAATACCTTTTAAATAAACTGCCTTTCAAAAAATCATCACAGCAACTTGAACTTAAATATTCAAATCTCTAGGTCTAGCCAGTAGCCTGTTTCATAAATAAAATTTTGAGAACCTGGCACTTCATTTCACTATGTAGTATTCACAGCTGCTTCCACGGCACAGTGGTGGGGTTAAGCAGCTGTCAAAGAGGCTGCATAGCCTGCAAGGCCTAAATATATTTACTGTCTGATCCTTTGCAGAAAAAGCCTGGGGACTTATCACATAGGTGTGGGAGCAGCATAGTCTGGGAATGACATAGTCAGAGAATGACAAGGGTTGGGATTCCAATAGTAAGCATCTAACTTAACCACTCCGGCCTCTGCTTCCTCATTTTCACTCAGTAAATTGTCATCTACCTCACACAGCTCCTGTGAGGATCTCCTTGCGTGGCATCGCTGAAAAAGCACATGGCACATAGGATCATACCGGAGACTGTTCTCTTCCTCCTTCAGCTCTGTGGGGGGATTTGAACCAGCACACGTTCTGTCTTTGACTTAGCATCACAACCCCTGTGACATTTTTATCAAGACTCTGAAAGTTCTTTGACACATGAATTAATGTTGTAAAACTTAGCTGAACTGGGAGGAATGATAACCCTAGAGCCTAGCTTACTGATCAAGCTGTCAGGTCACTGAATACAATTTAAATTGGTGGTTAGCATTACACCCACTGCTGTAGGGATGGTTCTGACTTGCACGACCCTCCATTAGGTTCTGAGGCTGTAAATCTTCATGGTCAGGGGCTGCTTTTCTTCCTTCCACAGAGCAAGTGGTGGACTTGAACTGCTGACCTATGGTTATTAGTCTGGCACATTAACGCTCTGTGCCACCTGGGCTCCTTGGCTGTCTATTAGAAATAGTTCCAAGTTAGGTCATCTGCAGATTGGAGCCAATATGCTACTTTTCCTCTCATCTTTTGCTTTGAGCTTTGAAATACAACAGCCACCCTCACCAGCAGATGTGCATTCTTTGTCCTAGTTTGCTCTGTGTTTTCTCCTGGCAGTGCCCGGCAATTTTATTAGCAGACACAGTGCCAGACAGAGGCAGGAAAGCAGCTTTAGGAGGCAAGAGGCTGAATACGTGCAGGTGAAACACGACGGCGTCAGCTGTTCCCAGCGGAGACACCGTGGCTGTGACCAGCAGTCACTCCTGCCAAGCCATCCCAGCAGGGGGAAGGGAAGCCGAGTGAGTGAGAGACGGGAACAGACAGCGGGCCAGAGCTGGGTGTCCACCATCTAAATCCGAGAAGGGAGAGGGACGAGTGAATGCAAGCTTCAAGTCCGACTTTTCAGTTGCTAAGGTTTTGGTCCCCTGGGAAGGCAGTAATTACAAAGCTGAACGAGATTCTTTTGGAATATAGGAGCCAAGGAGTTACTGTGACCTTAGCAGTCGAAATCCATCTCGGTCTCTCTCTTGCTGTCCCTCATCTGTTGTTGCTGGGTGACGCTGAGTTAACCCCACACATAGGGACCTCAGGAGACAGAGTGGACCTGCACCATGGCATTTTCTAGGTTGCAATCTTTACAGAGCAACAACACCAGGTCTTTCGCCCATATTCACTCTTGGCTAGGAGATGAACACTTAATGTTACGCACCAGAGCTCCTTCTAATGAATTAAACCATGGCCACAACATCGAGTGTGGCGGAGGGTGGGTGGAAGTAGCAGCAAAAGCATTAGCATTAGCGAGCTTTTCTACCCAGATGACAAACAGTCCCCAGCACTGGTGGCAGGTCCTGGGCTATTTCCAGACATCAGTGTTCTCAGCATCAGGACAGCAAGGTGTGGAGTCCTCGGCCTCACAGGGTCACATTTCCCACTCAGTTAGTTGTGTAGGTGGATTCAGAGGCCCAGAGTGCCCCATCGCCTCTTGCCTTGTCCCAGATATTCAGGAAATTTATCAAACGGAGCCACAAGGCCCTCTTCCTAGACACCGGTCACTTCCTATTTCAGAACTGGAAAGTGAGGTTATCTGATCCACAGCTCAGGCGGACGTGGGCGATGGAGGGGCATTACTGCTTGGGACCACAAAGTCTGATCAAGGGTTCGGGCAGTTAGTCCTCCTAACTCACAGGTTTGAAGGTTCCTTTTGTAATGTTATTATTGTCGTCGTTATGCGTCATCAAGTCTGAACGGGACTCACAGCTGACCCTCCAGAGGCAGTAAGTCCCACGGGAGGAGACGGCCCATCTTTCTACCTCGGAGCGGCTAGTAGATTCAAGCCACCTGCCTTTAGGCTGACAGCGCCAACTCCTTACCGCTAACCCACCAGAGCTCCCTCCTGCAGTAATAGTCCTCTTTATATGCCAATATTTCATTCCTTTAAATGATTACCAAGACTGGTCTGCCCAAGCTGTCTGTGCGACGCAGAACAGCTGACGTTTGGATAAACCATCAGTCTGTTGTGACAATAACTTCTGGGTCCAAGCTCTGGGAGGTAAATGCTGTCTGAACGAGGGGTGCCTGGAACAATGACGCGGATTCCTGGGAATATGATGAGTAACTGGATGTTTAGTATTTATAGCACTCTGCCCAGTCTCTGGAAAAACTCTTAAGAAAGCCAGGAACAGTGTCAAGGGTGTCCCAAATAACCGGCAAAAGCTCTTCTCTGTGAACTTTGGAACAGTTGGCAGTAAGAAAGCAGCAAGCCTTTTTTCTGTTTCCAGAGTGTCCCCTGTGTGCTGCAAGCATCTGGTGAAGACAGTCCCTCACCAGGCACCAAAACCACCAGGAAACCAGCAGCCGTGCGGCCTCCACACGACACTTTGGGAGAGCAGAGCTGGAACCTGGCCGCTGTCCAGGCATCCTGGTCAGGGCTCAAGGGACCAAGCTGTGGTGGGTGGGTGGGAGCCCAGAGCACATGGGGGCTTCAGACAAAAGACAAAGAAAATGTGGGATAAAAGAGGGGCAACACTGCTGAGATCAGGATCAAGGGCTAGAATAGAAATGTGATTTTATGTCACATAACAGCCCATCATAAAATAGCCCAGAAGGTCTATTTTATGATTTATTTCCAGAACATACTTGAGTATAAAATTCCCTAAGTTGAACGTGTGTTGCACATTAGACTAAATCTCTCAACAGTGCCCAGGAGTATGTTAAAGGGTTGTGCAAGGCATGTATGGTTAAGCCTGGTTTAAAACTAACGAGTTGTGGCGAGCTATGGTAGCCTAATGGCAAGAAGCTGCACTGCAATCTCAGAGGTGAGAGGTCTGAATCCACCAGATGCTCTGCTGGGAAGGAGGGACAAGCTCCTCCCGTAACAGTCAGATCTGATTTGATGGTACACACACATAAAAATAAAATTTAAAAAAAACAAAAAAAAAAACCAAACAAAAAACTAATGAGTTGTATAGTGCTCTTTTTCAATGCCAAGATCAGCCGTGATGATGAAGGTTAGTTTTACTAAGTATATTACTACATAGAGCAGTTGGTCAAACCACCAATTCAAGTGTATCAAAGAAAGACCAAAAAAAAAAATAACAGCAGGGGGGTTGTGGGGGACACAGGCCTCTTCTCCCCCTCAGCTCTGCCCAGGCCACGTCAGTTAGGCAGTGTGGCCCAATTTCCAGTGAGAGGAAATGGAGCTTTCCTGCCATTTACCACAGAATGTGACAGAAACACATTCTGAAATCAAGAAGCATTATTTCATCAGGAACTCTGACATGTTTTTCAACAAAGTCATTCTTCTCAAGTGGAACAAAACATTCCTCTACTTACAGGCCATTGTGTGGTAAATGCTGGGCCAGTACTGACCGCTGTCTCTCTTCAGCCATACTCGGAGGGTTCTGTGGGGGGAAAAAAGAACAGCCTTTAATAATTTTATTTCCTTTTAAATACCAGAACAGTGTACTATCTTTTAAAATATTCAATACCATCTCGCAACTGAATTTATAACTAACTGGATCACATTTTCAAAGATACCACGAGTGGCACATTTTGGCTAGTGAAGCCAGAGAGAAAGCCCACTTGAGAGTTGCCTGTTTATTTCATCACTGTTATTGGAACACAAATTAACACAACTTTCAGAAACAGTAAATTAATAATTTTACCAAATTTAGAAACAAAAACAATGGGCCGAGAGTGCTCCCTTTAGGGAATACATACCAAAGAAATAATAATAATAATAAAAAAGAAAGAATCGACAAAGACTTATAAATAAGGGATTTCACTATTAAGTTAGTGTAATTGTAAAAGCAAGTAAGTAGCATAAAAGTTTCAAGCTACTTTGTGGCCTTATATGTCAGACTTAAAGTACAAGTCAGGATTTCACATAACCTTTTAACAACATGGAAAATATGCTAAGAAAACTAACTGCTTTCCTCGGAAAAACAAACTGAGTGAACCTGGTGGCCTGACTGAGCCAATCGAGGAATGTAGTAGATAAAAATTAGGAACTAGGACTTAAAAGGAAGAGCAATGCTGATACCAAAGGCACTCCACTTCTTATTCTCTGATAATCCTCAATCTTTGTAAACCCAGGAAGGAAATCATTCCACACCACATCTTGGGGCCTCTACTTTCATTACAACATGCATCGGGAGATAAGGAAATCCTGGACATATGCAGGAAAATGACTACAACAGGCAAGGTTTAATGCTCTGTTTTATTACCTTCTCTCCTCCACTCATGAAGCCTCCTCTAAGTTGAGTCACTTCCTCTTCTAAACTCCCAGGATATCTTAAGTGTTTACTGAGTCTGACCCAGTATGATCACACCAGCCTGCCATCCCAAGGGTCAGCTCTGTGAAAATTAGTCCTGTATTTCCAGTAACAGCTAAGATTCCAGCACGCAATAGGTGCTGAATAAATTTTTACAAGCTTAAACTAAAATACACTAAGACTACTGTATCATGCTAATGGTGGAAGAATAATTTGGAAACAAAAGGAAATGAATGCACAAACTGAAGAAATAAATAATCAAGGCCACTGAATTGGATGTGTAGACATGTTGAATTAGTGTTGCACTGCCATATATGTTATTGTTGTTGTTATGTGAAGTCGAGTCGTTTCCGACTCATAGCGACCCTATGCACAACAGCTCTAAACCCTGCTCTGTCCTGTGCCAACCGCACCGCCTCTGACACACCAATCCCGATTACCCCAGTCACCGAATCAATCCATCTCATAGAGGGTCTTCCCCTCCTG